CCAGCAGAGGGCAACAGAAACAGCAAGGGGGCTGCAGGACATGACTTCCAAGGACAGGCTGAGGGAGCTGGGCTTATTTAGTCTAGAGAAGACAAGACAGAGGGGATTTAATAGCAGCCTTCAACTACCTGAAGGGGGGTGCAGAAGAGGGAGCTAGACTGTTCTCAGTGGTGGCAGATGACAGAACAAGGAGCTAGTGTCTCAAGTTGCAGCAAGGGAAATTTAGGTTGGATATTAGGAAAAACCTCTCTCATAAGAAGGTTAGTAAAATACTGGAACAGGTTGCCTAGAGAGGTGCTGGAAGCTCTATCCTTGGAAGTTTTCAAGGCCCAGCTATACAAAGTTTTGGCTGGGATGATCTAGTCCGGGATGGTCCTGCTTTGAGCAGGAGGTTGGACTAGATCAGTGGTTCTCAGACTTTTTTCACAGTGGGATCTATTAGCATAACTATCAGCTTGCTGTGAGCCACACCCTCCCAGTTCGTGACCCACAGTCTCTCTCCCCCCTCTTCCCTTCCAGCTGCTACATCCAGACCCCTACCTCTCTCTCCTGCTGCTTTATGCTGCCCTGCTCCATGCAGCCTTGCAGCATTTCCCTCAGACCTCCAGATAACGCTTTAAAATCCTCTTGTGACCCAAGTTTGGGTCACAATCCATGGGTTGAGAAACACTGGACTAGATGACCTTCTGAGGCCCCTTCCAAACCTAATTTTCTATGGTTCTAACTTCTGTTTCTTCTTTGACCCTCAAAACACTCTTTGTCAAAGTCTGAGGTTGCAACACTAAGAGTCTGCATTACAGGTATAAACCAAACTCCAAGTGGCTAGATCTCTCACCTATAGGTAACTCTCTCTCACATCTGTGGCACTTTAGTATTCCAGTGTAGAATAAGCTTTAATCAGTCCCCATGAGAAGGGCACTTAGGCAAACACTAATGTCACTAGAGCAGTGACTTTCCAACTTCTTAAAGTCAAGGAACCCTTTCATACCACTTCTACCATGGAACCTCTACCCCCTGTCACAACCCAAGGGTGTGATTTTTGTTTGTGTGAGCTTCGGCACTGCTGAATTATTTCCCGCCACTTGTAGCTTTCTTTGCAGGGTGCATTTCTTCGTTGCAACACAGAAATGCACGTTGCAAGGAGTTCCCACCATTTGTATTCAAATTTGTGCCCCACTATTGGCCAGTTCTAAATTATTCCTATGTGGCGGCTAGCGATTGGTTTGCTAGCCATATAAAAGGCTTGAGTGGTTTCCGCCCAAGTTGGAAGACTCCACAAACATCAGGAGGAGGAGACTTTACGTCTCGTGAAGATCTCTAAGCGCTGCGGAGCCTATTGGACCCAGCATGTATATCAAGAAGGCTACAGGGGTCTGATCAGCCTCTCGCCTCTCCCCGTCACCGCCTAATCCCTCGACATACCCTTCCCTGCACGCAAGTTCCACGGAGCCTAGCAAACTTCGTGTGAGTGAATCCAGAGTTCTGTCCGAGTCCTTAAACTGGGACTTAAGCGAAGTTTTCCTGGAAGTTTTCCAGCCTGCACTGCGACCATCTACGGTGTAAGTAAACAATCTTAAATCAACCATTAAGTGTCCGTGCCTAATTCTAGCGTGCCGCCTGCCTTCCCCGACCCGGCATGTCCGGGCTGCTGGCCACAGCCCGCCGCGCGAAAAAAGGGCCTCGGACCGCTCCCGGTCCGCACACCCCCATGCTAAATACTGATATGGACTAGGAGCCAAGCCACCCAGCCCCACAATGGCAGCACACTGCCTCCCAGACTGCTTCACCATTACTCCCAGTCTCATCATGGACCTCCTGAGGACCTACTGCAGAACCCTGTGGTTCCACGCAACAGTATGAAAACCACTTCACTAGACGGTGTGTCACGGTGGGGTCCTACAGGAGGGCCGTGATCCCCTTAAGGCCCCCTCTCCGTGCCTATTCGGCCCAAGGGCACCCTCTATTCTCGCCCGCCACATCTTTGATCTTGAGTGAAGTTGGGAGGCTGCCTTACGTCTCCTAGGCACGGTTAGCTGGGAGCTCTGTCCCCGTGTTCTCCCGGACCCACCGGGGGTCTCCCTGTACACTGGGTGAGTTCCAGGCACCCTAGCCTTATGGGCTACGCATGGCTCCTACCAACCCCTAATACCACGCCCCAAGCCTTGCAGATGTACTGGACATTGGTCTGTCAAAATACACACCCGCTCCCCCGGGCCTCCTCTGTAGTCTAGCCCACTCCCGGACCTTCTCTAATATACGGCCCCTCACGGGGACTCTTGTCAAGCCCACTCTGGGCCTTCTCTAAAATAATCTAGCTGGCTACGGGACTTCCTATCGAGTCTCCAGTCCTTTAGGCCCACCACACGGCTACCCTCTCTTATCCAGGCGCACTGCGCCACTATCCCCCTTTGCCAGGGACCACCGCAGCACCTTGCCTTTCTCCTGGGGTGTTGTACTGCTAGCCCCTTCTGTCGGGGTCCACCGCAGCACCCTGCCCCTATCTGAGGGCTATTGCCGTACTAGCCTACAGCCGGGCTCGCTACGCCCGTCTCAGGATTCTCAATAGTCCCCCTTCTCTGGGACCTTACATGCCCACACCGGGCTTCCTGATACTATCGCCCCTTCACTGGGGCTTGCTGTGCCCCCGCTGGGCTCCTTAATAATGCCGCTCCCTTCCCTGGGGCTCGCTGAGCCCACGCTGGGCTTCCTAATAATACTGCCCCCTCTCTGGGGCTCGCTGTGCCCACGCTGGGCACCGGGGTCCTCACACTCCGCTGTGAGGCCCCTTTAAGGATACTGCGCCCTTACTGGCACCAGGGTCCCCATACCACTGGGGGTTCCCCCTGAGTATGCCACACCTGCTCTGGCACTGGGGTCCTCACCCTTTGTTGCGATTCCCCAATGAGTATGCTGCGCCCTCCTCAGGCGCTGGGGTCCCCACTCCTCTGGGGGTCCCTATAAGGCCTCCTCCAACCCTTTATAGCCTCACCCTAGCCACCGGTGTAATAAACAACAACAAGACCACAAGCCTCCTGGCTACAACTTAACTTAAGGCCGCCTGGCTATAACAACATTGCTCCAAACCCCCGGAGCCACCATCCTCTACTCTGTTCGAGCAGTTCTCGCATCTCAGCCCCAGGAGCTCCTCTCCATCTGGCCGCCGGCAGGGAACTACCAGCCTGGCCTCAGCCCTGGGCTTTATGAGGGCCAAGCCCTGCCCTACATTACCAGCTGACCGCCATCAGGTGTGAGTCAATCTATCTGGAGTTGCCCTGGCAACTCACAGCTGCGCTCATTATCCCTGCTAGGGCTTTTCCCCAGCAGTTTTCCCCTCTAGGAGCGGGGCAGCGAGGTGCCCCGCGACACCATGCTTCTGCAACCCTGAGACACTCCTGGCAGAAGACTAGACTAATCTGGCTTTACTTTGCATAAAAGTTGCAAAGACATATCAAAATAGCCTTATATTAGTGTACGTCATTCCACTCTGGAGTGAAGTTACTCTGCAGAAAGTGAGGACCAACTATACATCAGTGTAAACTAAACCAGTGTGCCACTGTCTGCTACCTTGCCCATCATGGGATTGACTAAATACTTGCCCAGTGAAAACTAGCCCCCACTGCCTAGGGGGGGGGAGCACTTTAAGGGGCAGCACACAATGAGAGCAGCCAGCAGGTCAGATGCTCACTTCTCACCACTAAGTAAAATCCAGGTTAAATTATCCCCTAGTGATCACAGTGTGTGTCTGCATCCATAAACTACCAACCCACACATGGGTATACAGAGAGGCCTTAGAAGGTAAAATAATTTTGCATCCACAAGTGATTTCCCCCTCAGAACCAAAATGCCATATTTAAATAAAATATCATATAAATGCAGCATTTATCAGAGAAACTGCCAGTCTTCAAAGCCAGAAAAGTACCCCTGGAAAGACAAAGCAATATCAACTTCTGCAATATGCACTGACACTACAACTTCTCCATTACACACTGACACTTCAGTTTGAACTATGCGAGCAGCTTCTTGTATCACTGTGGAGCACATTAACTTACAGAATCAAGGCCCCAGTCAGCTTCTCTTTGAGTGATGATTATGAACATCCTGCTATTATTAAATACCTACAGTAATCTGAAGCTAATAAGCAGCATATATACATTATCAGTCCAAAGAATACTGGATGGAGACTTATTTAATTTTATCATTTTCTTGCTGTTGTATGAATATATAATATTCTGTGATAAGAAAAAAAAAACAAGAACAGGTTATGACCAGTAATACTTTACATAAAGGGATTGAAAATATGCCCACTTTATGGGAAAAAAATATATAAATCACTGGACGGGTCCAGTTCAGTTACTTGGAAAGAAGGAAAATATAATAGACATTTTTTACAGAGTTCTAGGCCGTGTAATACTTCTCTGGGAAAATGGAGGTAAGGTGCTTCCTATCAGCACAAAGATTACTCTTATACCTAGGATAAAATAAAAGATATCAATACCCAAATAAAAGATAAAATAAAAGATACCCAAAGAACCTTGCCTGCCCATGTCCTTAGACCAGCACAGCTACAATCTACACCCTATAACCTAGACACACGCAAAGATTCACTGGTCTACCTGTGGGGGAAGTAAGTGAAGTGATCTCCAACCGCGCATTTCGCAGTACGTGGTTGTCTATTGCTGTTGCTAGTCTCAGCATAAGACAGTTGACTAACCCTGTGTCCAGCCTACACAGTCCCCATGTCTACCAGCTAGGCCCCATTTGTCTTCTAGTGGTTCCCAGCTGCAAGGGCAATAATATCACCAGCTGTGAACTCTGGGAGGGGTAAGCTAAAGTTTCCTCCCTACTTCACAACTAGCCCGTGTCTGTGTGGTGAGGGTGGTGCTGGGAGCCCAGCCCACCCCTCCCTAGGGCAAAGTCTGCACTCGTGAACCCTCCTAGGGCCGAGCCAGCTCCCACCTCCTCGGCACACCACCTCAAACCCTCCCAGGGCAGCTCCTCACCAGCGGGCCCCATTGAAACCAGGAGCTGTGGTACAGCCCAGCTGATCGCTTGGCTGTCCTCCCCAGCCCCGCCCGGCTGCTGAAGGCTCCCCCGGGGCTGGCGCTGGCTCTGCTCCACACCAGCTTCATCTCAGCCCCCGGGGCGCTCGGGCCCGTCCCGCACGCGCACGCCGCGGGCCCCAACCG